AGGTCAAATGAAAATTGCGTTATCCAGAATCTACCTCATCATTTGTCACTTGCGTTGTGGACTGTGTAAATTACTGGCCCATTTTCTGTTCTTGAGGCAGAAAATATTGAAGAAAACCAGACTCGCAAAGGGGGGCTCACGAACGCACAGTTCCCGAATTGCCTACTCCACACCTCGCCGCAACCGCTGGCTGTACTACAATGTATACGATGGTAACCGCCCGACCGCACGGCGTCCATTTGCAATCCATGGCCCCGTCGTGTTATCGCGCGTGCGCACACATTTGCCGAATTTTTGCCCAAATTTCCTTCAAAAGTTCGGCATATGCCGGACTTTGCCGAATCTGAAGTTCGGCAGATTCGGTGTATCACTAGCGGATACGCTAAAAAGACGGGCGAATCACAAACATGTCGTCACATGATCAATCCGTCCGCGGATCAGTCCGTCGTGTGAATATGCGATTAACAGCATACTCGGTAAAGCGAGTATCGAGAGAGACAGAGAGAGAAAGAGAGAAAAAAGAAAACCTCTCTCAGTGAAAGTTACCGATCCCGTAATTTGAGCCGACAGCCTTCATGAACACATGTTAATAACGGGAGAGAAGAATGGTGGGCAGTAAACCAGTGGGACGGTTGCTTCCACGTGCGAAATTGCGCCGATAACATCGGAAGCCTTCACGTTCGCCTCCGAACTTCTCAAGGACGTATGGAATGTTTTGCTTCCAGAATCTTGGCACGTGTCTGGCGGAGAGCCCCATTTCGGACAGAATTCCTATGCGTTCGAACGTAAGCACGGCCCTTGAAATTCAAGAATAAAACCCAACAAAATCGGTTAGGGTCCGACCTATATATTTTTATTACGACACTGGTTATTCGCGAGATGTATCAACGGTACATTTTGTATAGAGACGGGCAAAAGCATGCACATTTGTGGATGCTTTTGTGACTATTTGTTTTTACAGATAATAGCGAATTTTAGAATAGCGTACGCAAAATCCTTGAGTACGCAATGAAATAGCGTCGTCGCCACTCGCATGCGTCAAACCGAAACCGCGTTTTAGATTTGCACATGGCGACGACGCTATATCTTTAGCGTACGTAAATTCTTTTGCGTACGCTATTCTAAAACTCACCGATAATTTTCGATAAGCTGTCCATAACAACGAACCTTTTTTTGTGATCAATTACGGGCCTCGGCGTTCTTTTTGCTTCCCTTCCAGCCTGGACCATGTATTGGTCTGCAGCACGTAATAAATAATTAAATAAGACAAATAAATCCCCGGGTCTGTTTCCTGTCGAATCGTCGTGGTTGGGGAATTTCCGCTCTAAATTTAGCGGAGTCATTTTTCCGCTAAACGTCACGGGGCCACTTGATGTAAGTCGCACGATTCCATGACGTGCCCTCCTGATGCTACTTAGAGGTAATGACGGAATAATCTTGCCTTAGTTTTTCTTTCGTGGCAATGGCAGTCGCCAAAAAAATTCGAGAAATATAAGCATCGTTCATCCCCTCAACTGTCCTCGAAAGTGCCAGTTTACCCTCGCCCCGAGCGAGCGACGCTCGAACCTTCCTTTGCCGAACTTTCGAGAGAGTGACACACTGTAGATAAGCAGCTGCCCGCGACCTTGTCGAGTCAGTCTCGCTCTCGCTCTCTGTTACGCCGCCGAATCGCCGCCCGCTTTTCTGCTGCCTCAACGCTCGTTCTTTGTTTTTCATTTGGCGCAAGTTCACCTGTTAAACCTTTATTTTTCAGTTCGCTGTTTGTCTTCTCGTCACCTTCATTCGTGACGATATTATGTTTCATTCCAAAGGCCCCTACGCACAGTTGTGTTTGAGAGCGCTTGAGTGCGTTTGACTGCGTAGGGGCTGCGAGAAACCACGACATGTCTGCTATGTAGTGTGCCAAGCTATATTCCTTCAATTGGATTCCACGCCTTGTGCGAATCACAGATGTGCCGTGCCGGTGGCTCGCTTTCGTTTCTCGACGCAACGCAGTCAAACGCTCTCAAACGCAACTACGCGTAGTGTACAACGCTGTCAAAGCTGCTGACGCGAGCATCGGGTTTCATCTCGTACATCATTTTCACGCGTTCTGGCGCGAACGAAACGACGAAGCCACGTCCTCGCGCCAGGAGCTTTGACAGCGTTGCAATATACAAAGTATGAAACGTATACGGTATGCTAAAAGTATGAAACGGCGCCGATCGGCTAGGAGGCCGTAGGTCGTATAACGATACAAGAAAAATGAGCGTATAGTTCTTTGAGGTGTCAGTGAGCATAAAACCCAAAACACACACACACACAAAAAAAAACGAAAAAAAAAAAAAACGGGGACATATATTTGTGTGGATGGTTTTCCCTTTATTCCACCTTCCGTCTCGGGTCTTGGTAGTCACCGACGGGATCAGAACGGTAGGGCACCGCTGACAGGCTACGGGCCTCCGGCACGTGCTCGTTGCTTTCTACCCTGCTTTATAGTTGCGCGTGTGCGCTGATGACTCACGAGACACTGAAGCGCTCTCAAAGCTATAGACGCTTTACACGCGCGCCAAATTACAGCCGCCGTTGCTGACCTTCTCTTGTCTTTCCCAGATGCCGAGCCACTAAAGCGGGCGTTGACAAGCCTCCAGAAAGGCCAATGCTGTGGAGAAGGACACTATAGAAACTAAAATTGCAATAACCTGCCCCTCTAGGGTAACGATGAGGTGAAGTAAATTTAATAAGAGGAAATAAGAACTGAAGGTCGGTTATGGCGGCGCCCATGCACAGCTGCTGCAAAGTCAACTGAAACTCCTGCATGCCATGCTCATTCACTCTGTGATCATATCTACAGTCTTGTCTCGCTAATATGGGCCCTTTCGTTGTCCCTCCGCAAAAACAACAAAAGCGTCAATAACCTAGTTGTCTATATATTAACGAGACAAGAATACGCGTATTTTCCAGTGCGTCCCCGGAAATGGTTGTCTCTGTATAGATGGGTATTAACGAAACATGTTCGGCCCGAATAATTAACACTTCCTGCGGTATACATGATAGAGTTATTACAATAAACGCTAGAGGCTCAGCTGGCGCTAGTGTCTACGGGACTTCCGGTTGGAAATTGAAGCAGACAGCATGCAGTCTACATTTCCAGCCTCCCTGTGTATTCCCATGGGAAAAAGCGCGTGAATTCTGTGTCTTCGCCGGAAAATAACATGAATGACTTTTGTCATTTCGGTTGTACCGGATAGTATGTACCTTTATTGGTATTGTGAGAGTGTAATTGCTTTAGTTACAACATTTTTCTTTACCACTAAACGATGTTAAACTTCGCTCTATTTTCAGGCCCAAACCTCTGTTGCAATGAAGGTAAGTAAAAACGAGCGACGATTCTAAGCAAACTAACGATCAAAAGGAATGTAGAGTGTGTTCAAGGCTCGCCAGCATTTCGGTGGCGCTTATATATTGCTAATATGCCCGTCCTGTCATTGGATGAAAATGACTGCGTCGTACACCTTCACGATCGATTAAAGAAACATTCGAACGCAAACATAAAGCACGTGAGCTACGAAAGGTGTCTCTTTATTATTTTCTATGTCGGGCAGTTTTTATCGGGCACCTGCTCTCTGGCTCACCCTATTTGCAAAGATTCGGAGCGTGCGGGTGATGATTTGAACCCAGAACAAGCATCTTCGCACATATTCATGAGCACAAAGAATAAAGCAGTATTTATTTATTGCAAATCTGACTATATTACCTGGTTTTCAATTTATTTTGATCGTCTGCATGCACAAGGAGTTACTTATCCAGTGTTACTGCGTAGTTCTTGCCGTCTCTCTTGGTTTTCCACATGTCCTTCGTTCGTTTGGCACGTATATACCCCATGCTGGAAAGCGTCGACGCCGTGTTCGCGCTAACAGTGTCCGACAGTGCACATAAATACACGTACGAAGCGGTTTTAGCACCGTTTTTCATGTCACGCATTTCAAATAAAAACACCGTAACTGACCAATTATTTCGTCTGCGTGACTGAGAAATGTTCTAATGTGCCAAGTACGTACAAATTATTCGTGATATTTGCTCTTATATTTGAGCGCAGAGAGAAAATGCACTCGCTTTTCCCCATAGAAATGCATTACTGGAAGTCAGTTTCCGACTGCTTGCTGTCTGTTTCAAAATGCAACAGCATAGCGCCACCTGAACCTCTAGCGTTTATTGTAATAACTCTATAGTATACATGACCTAGAGGACTTTAAGCAAACCGTTACCGCGCGTTTCGCATACCGCACTACACCAGAGCCTTCGGAGCATGCTTTTAAGCGCGCGCCTCGCGGTCGCGGTATCAACCGAGCGCGCGCTTAAAAGCGCACTTGAAAGGCTTCGGTGGTGTGGTACGCGGAACGCGGTAACGGTTTGCTAAAAGTCCCTATCCTCTCCACAAGCGCCCGTACTGGTAGTTGTGCGGTTTGGCAGGGCAGTTCAGAAAAATCCCTAGGGGTACGTTTATATTTGGCTGACGAAAGCCAGTTTCCAAAAAACGGCACGTAACTTGCCTTCCCCCCCCCCCCCCCTCATTTTTTGCTTGTTTTTCCATTAATGTATATTTTTACGGCTTGGGGCATTTTCCACCAACCGCCGCAGCTGCCATCCAGTTTGTTTAGAAATGCCCATTGGCAATGCTCAATCGGTACGGCAGGAGGCTCCACCGACGCCGGCAGCCCGAGGCACGAGGGATAAAAATACCCCCAGACCTCCTGAATTCAGCCTCGTCGTTGCGTGAAACAGCCTCATCTCGCTTCGGTGTTCCGGTCGTCACTTTCGACGCGCTCGCATCCCGGCTGCAAGCCGGCAGAAAATGTCCGCTATGCTACGTTAGAGCCGTGTCCCATTGTCCTGCGTAGCGAGCGCATAATTGCTACTTGTGACCCAATTTATCGAGTTACGTAGCGAGGTTAGATGGCTGTGGGCAGGGATCGTAAGCTCTAGTTGTTTCAAAGTAATCCGAGCCTTCGAACAGTTCCCGACTTCGTTGGACGACCATGGGTGAGTAAGAACTGCGTCGTTCGCGTTTTCGCCGGTAGGAAGTGTGATGTTCGTTCGCCGTGTGGTACGTCGCCGGATTCACTCATTATATATAACAGCGTATGTCTACCTCACCTCAAAATATCCACATCTATAATAATGTACTGACACCAATTAAAGGATATTGTGCTTACCTCATAACGTTATGCATTTTAGTTATGTGTATTCTTTCGTTCAAAGTAGTGCTTTTTGAGTATGTGTGTGAGTTTCTCATTTGTTCTTCCTGGTTTTTCGTGTTTTATGTGTCGAGAATGTAAGATCGAGAAGGAGGCGAGAAAGCGCGGGAACTTCAGAACGCCGAGCTCCGATTCGAATGATTAGTTGATGAACTCATTGTTGGGAAGTATTTTAAAGTACTTAAAGCATTTTTTTCTGGTACTTCCTGACTTCAAAGTACGTTCCCCAAAGTTGGTCTTGTTAAATTTGTATCACAAAATGATGCTTTGTCAACTTTGAAGAAATACTGGGAGGGATATTCTACTCTCACCAGAAACGGGAGCAGACGACGGATCACTCCTCTGGTCATTTCTCTGAGGGAACTAATGGTGACTCTAAGACCAATACAAATAAGTGCCGTATAAGCAAATTGCCTGAAATAGTTTTTCACCGAGATTAAAACGACTACTTTGTGAACATTGGACATTATCTAATACTCGCCTTCGTTTCCGGAAATAATTGATGCACTCACAATTACCCAAGGCGTGGGTGTATGCATACCAGTTTAAAAAAATAAAATAAATAAATAGGGGAATTAAAGTGCACCATGAAAGATTATGGTAAAAAGTACTTCTACTTTACTTCAAAACTACCTTGTATTTGTTGTTTTTTGCGTCAAGTACATTGCGCCTGGTGTACTTACTGCTTTATTTTGAAGTACATAACCTTTCATTTAATTTGTACTTTACTTAAAGCACTTCTTAGATGTGCAGAGTGTTCCCGAGAAAAGAGAACCGTGTTTCTCGGCCCGGGGAAATTGACTATGCATCGCAAAATGCCCAATTTTCGTGAGAATATGACGCTAGCGGTTGGGATAGAACCAGAAAGTTGGAGAGCATGAAGTTACCTGGATCAAAAGATAATAGCGAAACACAAAATGCCGCTATGAGCCGACGTTCACCTGAGCCTAATATCGCCAAAACGAGAAATTACATTTTTGGCGCCCGTAACATCTATTTCAGTGAGAAAAAAAGAAACAACCAAAATACCCGCCAACAAGAAAGAAAGCAACATCCTCTTTCTTGCTGACAAGCGTTTTCCACGGATATAAATCCCACAAGCATCCACGATATCGAGTTCTGTCCTGACGATATTAGGGTTAGGAGGAACGTCGGCTCGTTGAAGAATCAGATTTTTCTCGATTACCTCTTGATGCAGGTAACGTCATGTTCTCATACTTCCGCGTTCTATCCCAACCGCTAGCCTCACATTCTCACGGAAATTTCAGCTTTCTGCGACGCGTAGTTTATTTATCCGGGTGAAAAAACACGGTTCTCGTTTCTGGAGAACAATATAGCTCCCTCTATTATGAATGCAATGTGACTTCAAAGTAACAGACAGGAACGCCGTGCAAGAAAGAAACGTGCCTCAGAGCGTGTCTGCGGACTGTGCTTTGAATTACGTATTAGCAAAGCGACTGCGGATTTAGATGTAATAGCGTATATACGGCTGGAGTTTCTATACCGGCCCATGCGGTTGGTCGTAACTTTGGGTGAACTGAGAACGCCGGAAGGTTCGCTCGCAAAGGGCAGTATTGACGCAAACAAACTCCCGGATGCCAGCACGTCTGGGAATGTGCTTACAAAAGTATGTTTGGGATATATATGAAGAAAGCTTGGCGCACGGCGCCTCAGGCACTTGCAAGCGGAGAAGCAGTCGTTTGCTGCATTTGAAATGAGCCAGTGGTGATAGAGGTACGTGAGGGTGACGAAATTTTTTCATGTCTCACACTATAAAGTCTGCTAGGGCCAAATTAGACTAAGTTTCGGTTCGTTTAAGTGCTTGTGTAAACACTTGATCAGAAGTTTTAACCGAGGAGGTCATTATGTTTTAATATTGATATGTGTGTGTGTTAACTTTAATAACCGAGCGGAGTAGCGTGTTCATGGTGCTTACCAAATTATTAGAACTTCTGTCGGTGTCCGTGAAGACGTTGTTGCGGCGCAGGAAGCTGTGCTAATTGTTTACGCTTGGCAGTAACGAGACGGTCCGTGAAGAAAACAAGGCAACTCGGGAAAGCTTAGCAACTACCCGTACAATCTACTCGAACGATATAGATTTTTTGAAGACATATTTTAGACCGCATAGAGTATCGTTGCCGCAGATAAGGTAAGCCAGATAACAGCTTCAGCCAAGGGTGGTGTCCATAAAAAAAGAAGTGTTTCGAACGCCGACAGTTTGCCCCCTGAGGCATTTAATGCAAACAAACTGCACAAACAAAGTGCTAATGTGACGTGTATTTTTTAAATTTTTTTGTGGAGTCCGGTGTTATAAACGCTGCGAGCCAATAGGGCCGATGAAGCTTCTTGGAAAGGGCTAGATCCCGCCATTTATGATGCGAAAGCATTAACTCCCCCGTGGAGCGGAGCCGCCGTTGTCTGTAACCGCGAAGAACGGCAGAGAAATTCCTTCTACGGAACGGCTATTAAAATGGCTGCGAAAGATTGGCCGCGCGGGATTGGCTGTGGCCCTTTCGCCGCGACACCGCTGTGCAGAACGGCGTGAGTCGCTCTGCAGAGCCCGGTCGGGCGGCCTCCGCAGAGGCTGCTCGGCCGCCCTCTGCAGAGCTTGTAGGAATGCGCTACGCATACGTATGTTTTCGCATTCCTACACGTAGCGGTCTTAAGTGTGCTCCTGTCATTTTGTGTGCGTTTCTTTGCGAGAGTTACCGCCAACTGATCCAATCAAGCGCAAAGAATCCTTTGGGACATCGAGATTTTTGTCTGTGCGCCTGTGTTTGTGTAGCAACCAACTACGGCCCCGGTCGGACTTGAGAGAAAACGGGGCATAACAGCCGTCCTATCGATTACATTGCCGAAATCGGCGTAGAGCAGTGAACAAGAGGAAGTCTAGCGCCTCTCATTCGGCAGTTGTCGGGCTCAACGAACAAGAGCCAGTTCACCAACGAGAAAAGCTGTGTTGTTCTTTAAATCTCGGCCTACCCGGAAGCTTGACCCTCGTAAACGCGCAGTCACAACAATGGCGCAGCAAATCATACACACACAACGACAAAAAGCGACGACATTTTTCCTTTCATAGGCAGTGCTTCACTTCGACTCTCAAGAATTTGCTTTCGGTAACAATTCGCATATACTCGACGCCGAAAATCGCGTTGTACCAAAGTCACTGATATAGCTTCTCCAAGCCAGCTATGGCGAGTGGCGGGCGTCTTATTTGTTTGTTTGTATATTTTGTGTACGGACGGTGTGCATTTGTGTATCATTTTGCGAAATTCCGACTGTTTTTTTTTTCTACTGATCTTGGATTACTTTGTTAAACAATGTACTGGCCTTCCTGTTTTTTTTCTTCTTTTTTTTTGCCTTTTTTGCGGGGACATTCTACGGTCAGCAGTATGTAATGAATAAAATGAAATCATCGCCCCACAGTCTATGACATTGAATGTGGAGCTTTAATTTTGACTCTTACAAGCGGACTGAACCAAAAAATCGGGCCGACTTTTTATATGGTCGCGACCAGTTTAAAAAAATGGCAGGGTGGGATTTATTATGTTAGCTCTTTTTGCTTCCTAATTAATTATTTTGCATTCTTTTTTACGGCTGATGACGCACATTTATTGGCTGGAATATGATAATCAGATTCACAAAATCCGTCACGCTCTGAGTTTTCGTTTTTCAATTCAATTACTATAAAGTTATTCCCAGCTGGCCTTCGATGTTGCCGCACATCAGAAGTCTACCCAATATTAATGCAGTGTCGTCCGGCAAAGCTCAGGAAGCATGACTTTTTATAGAACCACGGACGATGCTGCCGACATACTAGAAACGTATAGGTTTTAATGTTTTATTTCTTTGTTTTATGTTTGCGTGTTGTAGAGATGAGGTCGCAACTCCGTTTCGAAACTCCGCGTCCCTTCGAGGAATCCCTTAATTAAAGCAAACTGCCGCCACTCTTCAATTGGGGTCGCGGCGGCGACGCTTACCATTTAACTTTTCGAGTCTCCCGCTCCCAAAATATCAAACAAAAGTAAAAAGGCGGCGCGTCACCAACGAGGGCGCAACAGCGGCGTTAATTGCCGCTCCGTGCGACACCACCATTTGTCATTTTCGTTACAAGTCGACGGCGGCAAGTTTGGCCACGAGCGAGCACACAAACGCCGCGCCATAGGAGGCGTCTGGCGACGGCGCAGGAAGCGCGACCACGTGACGTCACAAGGCAGAAAAACAAAGAGTAAAAACATCCGCGGCCGCCAAAAACATTTCCTCGTTGGTTACAGCGTCCCCATTGTTCTCGAGCGAGGTATGGTGCGTTTTCTCACGTGTTTAGCGCACGAGTAGCACGTGCTTTTCCGACGGTCGTGAAGGAACACTCTAATACATTTTACACCCTTAATTAACTCCGCTGATTTTTCCATAGTTTTCGATTCGGCTGGAAATAGGCAGACCGTATCAATAACCCTTTCTCAACTGATAGTCAAAAATTTTATGAAACAAAAAACCTTCCCGCGAAGTTATTGAATTCTTAAATTACATCGGCCCTGAGTGTTCCAGGCAGTCATGAATAAGTTACTTTTAAAAAAGTAATTCGTTACAGTTACAGTTACTTCCAGAAAAACGTAGCGAAGTTGCCGTTACAGTTACTGCAACAAAGGGTAATTTGTTACAGTTACAGCTACTTTTAAAAAGTAACGACGTTACTTTTCGGTTACTTGTCTATAATACGAAAAATTTAGGAAAAACTAGAAGACGTCCCTCCGCAAGTTTTATTCCATAAAATTAAAAAAATAA